AACGTCGGCACCTTCGCCATGGACGCGGCGTCACCCGGACAGCCTAGTAAATACTGACACCGGCCGCGAATACCTACGCTCTCACTACGCTTTCAGGTTCAAATGGATTTGTGGTAGAGAGCCGGCGACGAGAGTATTTGGCAACATTGTGGGCAACAGAACGACGGCGACAGTGTGCTTGTCCGGTCCCTTGCTCACAACCGACAACGGCCGGGTGCATTCTACATATATTCATTTTTCTACATATATTAGGTTAAGGAAAGATGACGATATTGTACGATTCATTATACTGGACGCCGACACAAAATATCGGCAATGTGTTATTGCCGGATAGGGAATTGCGCCCCAGTATCAAACAAACTAAAGGCGAAAAAGTGGAATTGTGTAGATTGTGGTGCAGGGAAATCGTCATGCACAAAATGAACCAGCAACATATGTAACCCCGTTCTGTCAGGGATTGTACGAAAACTTATTTTAGGATCTTTAATCTCTTTCACGAACTTTCGGGAGGCCGAGTTGTGTTTCTTACAGGACGCTACAAGAAATGTTTCTTAACCCGTAATCTATAAAATGTCATTTCTGGGCCTTCGATTTTTTAACCTTAGCTTTTCTAGGTACCCCACTTCGTGGCAAGAATGGTCAGAAATGAACAGAATCTCGAAGTTTTTGTAAAATTACATTAACTATTGGATTTTATGTACAAATTAATCTCAGGAGTTTTTTTTAAATTCCCCGCAATAATAGAATGTTTACGGACCCGCAGTGTCAAGCTGAAATGATGTAACGCGCAGTTCAGAAATTGGTCTTTAGAAAATCTCGTTGGGAAGCTATTTTCACTACGTGCAGCGTTCTAAATGTTTACAGGGGTCGAACTTTAATACGTAACAGCTACTTATTATTTGAAACGACAATATTTTGTGGTAAGAGTCAAACTTTTTAGGATGATATGAAATCACAAGTTGAGAAACGTCTGTAAGTTACACCAACAATATTCAAACGCAAGTGCAGATTTGATATACTCGAAACAAATGAGGACCGAAAACTATATTTTGTTCCATATATTTTTTTGCAAGACGATTGTAAACTTAAGAATATTTTAGTTTTATATCCAGTGTTTGCCATTATAGAACATATCTGACTTAGAAGGAACATAAACACGGGATATGCCTATTTCCAAAAGAGGGGCTTGACTGTGATTTTCATGTTTTTGATATAAAGATTGTCAGCCTGATAGATACACAGAAAACCCCACTTAAAAATAATGTTTTGTTTCAAATATGATTCCAAACAGATAACGTTCGTTTTCGGCTCCTTGCGCGAGCTTGACGGTGTGATTCCGTCGCCCTGCCCAGTGCGGAGCGAAATTTGTCGGCTCCAAGCGGAAGCTCTTGGGGAGAGGAAGTATTTTCTGAGTGTGTGGGAGGTTGGACAAGCTATTCGTCTCAGCAATGCAATTTGTTTATGTCCAGACTATGTCTAAATGTATATAAAAACTTAAAATAATTTCCGTAGGTTCTTCGTTCTTTATTACTAATTTCCAATGATCGCATAAATTGAAAGGAAACAATGGCTATGTTAGAGGTGTCTATAGTTCGATTCTAGGAACTCGGAAAAACTCTAAAAACATCGATTTTGACTAAAAAATTGACATATTTGCTGGTTTTATTCCAGCTCTTTTCATTCTGCACGTAGAAAGAGATTTATCATTCTCATTACGTTAATGATAGAGATATAGGGACATCATACGACATCAAGGCTCCAAGGAAGAGGGCACTTTCCATTAAATATTTGCTCTTCACGTGTTATATGAAGTAACTTTTTCACTACGTTATTCCAGTATGCGTGAAGACTGTTTTTGTTAAAATATTCAATTAGTTGCAGCGTTGTACGTGGGGATATTGTTTTTGAGCAATGTGAGTGCCCCTTTTCGGAAAACCATTTCTGCGGGTTTTATCAGCAGCGCTTTTGTTGCTGCAAGTCACTAGTTGTTACTACTCGTATGTGGAAGAAAACGTAAAGAGTCCTGCACTTTTAATCTGTTTTGTTTTCAGTTAAAACAATTTTCATTCTAAATTACTTATAATTCATGCATATATTAAAGTATGTAAAATTGTTTACTAATTATTTATTTGACTTACCTTAAAATAATACCGATGTTTTCGCAACTATATGGATATTGCATAACTCTGTCGTGAATCACATAAGAAACAACAACAATAATAATAATGATAATCATAGTAATAATAATAATTAATAATAATGTCGTGAAGAGAAATGCAAGGGTACGTTTCGGTACTCCTGGACTTAGTTGTAAAGCTGACGAATCCATTTGTGTGTGCCCAGGTGATGAATTCGTTTCACCATTAGACCGACACTATTAATGACTTTAACGGCCTTTTGATTCCATAATCGAATCGAATTTAAAGAAATGAATCAGTTGTAGCGAAAGGTGGCGAATGTGTACTTCTGTTGCTAGTAAATGTGTTTCTTATATGAATGTTTCTTTTCAGAGGTAGTATTTCGAAAAGCATTGTATGTGACATACAAGAATATAAAATAACGGACTCGGTTTACAAACTTCAGCCGCATCCGTTATTTGAGGAACAAGTAATCGAAACGCATAGTGTCCACTGGTGGGAAAAATTAATTTTGACATGCAAGCGTGTATATATACCAGCTCTGCTTTAAGATTTCTTCAAAGCGCACTTTAACAAATTAAATGCGTTTTGAAGAAATCTGCAAGGAGGTGCATGTTGCGTTTTAGTTTAGTTGCTCCTGCTTCCAGATTTCTTTAAAACGCATTCAATTTAATTTGTGAAAATTTATTATGAAGAAATCTTAAAGCAGGAGCGTGTAGAACTACAAGTTTGCATGTGAAACTCAATTTTTTCCCACCAGTAGACACTAAGCACTTTGGTCAGTTGCTCCTCTTGTGCTGCTTGTGGCCAAGGGTATTATTGTGAGTTGTTGAGTTGCAGTGCGCTGACGAGGGGGGCGGTTGTGTCGCAGACTACGCGGCGGCGGCGGCCGCGGCGGCGGCGGCTGCGGCGGCGGCGGACGGCGGCGCGGGGGCGGCGGTGGACTGCTGGGGGCCGGGCAGGTGTCAGGGTGCCGCCCCCTCTGCTGCTGCCGGTGCCGCTGCCGACGCTGCTACAACGGCACGGAGGCGGCGCGGGCGGCGGCGTGGCGGCGGCGGCGGCGACGGCGCGTGCGCCGGGCGGACGGCGGCCGGGGCGGCGCGGCGGGCGCGGCGCGGCCGCGCCGGCGGCGGCGCCAAGCCCAGCCTGCTCGAGCTTCGTGCTTGTACAAACGTGGCCGCCATGCTGGCGGGCGTGGCCGTGGGCTACGACGTGCGCCTCAGCAACGTGTCGCCTCTGCACCCGCGCCTGCTGCCTCCGGCGGTGGCCGCCAGGTGAGACACTCCACGCCCTTCATTTGTCCACAGGAGCGTCGTTACCCATACGTTCGTTTTCCTCTGCCCATTTGTACTTTTCCGCTGCGGAGGAGGGGCTCGAATGACGCAGAACGTCTCTCTGTGAACAACGCTAGCGGCTAAGCCGTTCAGCCGATTTTCTCCAGTCGATGTGGCTTATCTCGCAGTCACTTGAATTTGAAACCTATAGTTTAACTTTTGGAGGTACTTTACATGGAGCCCTTGGGACATCTTCACAGTTTTCAAATAAAGATTACATCGTTTTTTGATTTTTTTTTGGGGGGGGGAGGTAGTGTGAAGGACATTTAAGAGAATAGTGCAGGTTTCATGTTCGTTAAAAACCCTGATTTTTTGAAAACTGCAAGAATTCCAAATTTGTTTCAATGTCTTCCTATAACTAAAATATTAAAAGGAGGGACTTTTCTCGTAATGGAATCTGTTCCTAAAGAGATACATTTTGAAATAAGGTCGTGTACAGTTTTTCAAAAATTTTAGTACTTTCGTGTGATTTTGCAAGAAAATACGTGCTGTTTTAGCACCACTAGTTTCCAAGCATACCAACTTATAAATCTACCCTTAATGTAGGCTTCTATTGAAGGACATTTTGAATATTAATTTTCCATCTTCCCATTCTTTCTCTTGCCATTTTTGTTCCTGTAAAATGTATAGTATATCTTCCTTCCAGGTGTGTTTCGGTCTTCCTCGCTTTCTTGTACCGTTTGGATACCACTCAAAAACATTTTTTGGGGAGCGTATCATCTTTCATTTTTTAATATGTCCAAACCAGGTTAATTGCTTACTTTTAGTGAATTCTAAAATGGTATACGTTTTGTTATTTTTTCGTATTCTTACGTTTCATATTTTGCTCTTTGTTGTTAATGGTACAGCTCTTCTTAATAATTTCCATTGCCAGTAATACATTTCTTAAACTTTGAATCAATTTTCAGGTTTCTGTTGCATGTTTCACTACATTTTGTACCATTATTTTATTAATTAATGTTTTATTTTCATTTGTAATACTTATATTCCACAAAATACCATTTAACATAGAAGTAATTTTTTTACCATTATTCGTTTTGTATTTAATATTTTCTTCTTCATAACAATCTTTGGGAATTTTCATCCTTAGATATTGAACTCTCTGACATTCCTGAATAATTCATCTTCTATAATCCAATATTAAATTTGTAGTAGATATTTCGTTATTTATGTAAAATGTTTTCTCAAAATTTATTTCCAAATCCTATTTATTGCACTCATCTTCTAATTTTCTGAACATTTAATTTACCCCTTTCTCTCCTGTCCAATAATAATTTAATCAGAAGCAAACAGTAATGTAAATATATAACAATTATTAACAATCGGTATTCCTATTTTAGCACACTTTTCCCCCAATTTCCTATCCCTCAGCACTTTTGTCCGAATAATATTTCTATCTACTTGACAGCTGGGCGTGGGGTAGAGCAATGGTGCCACATACTTGGGCGACAGACAGACAGTGGTCGTTCTCGCGTCAGATAACGCATCAGATCAGCAGCATCAGTATCAAGAAACATAAGAGAGTACAACAGAAGACGACACAATACCACACACACGATACAAAGAAATAGTGGCGCTCTTCAATTTTCAGTTACTTCGCGCTTAGATTTCTTTTCTTCTGATTCTTATTCTTAATGAGCATCAACTGTGCAGTGACATCAGAATTTGAAGCCTCGTATTGAATTACAGAACCACCTCTACCCTGTCAACCGCTAGCTGTCAGGTGGACAGATATATTATTCGGATAATACCCACATCATCCAGCTCCATATCGGCGGAGTTGGCTTAGGGCTACCACTGTTGCCGTTGCAGCGATTCGGACTGGCAGGACCCTAGGGTTCGAGCCCCGACGTTGGCGAATTTTCAATATTGACTACATAGCTATGTCGAATTCAATCACTGAGGAGGATTCTCATGATTCTCATTTCTCGACTGATCTGATCGGCAATTGAGGCACTCAGGATACGGCACATCCCAACCGACCTCGCATTTTCAATGAGAGGTAACGGTAGACTCCTGCCATACGGATAACTATATATGCTGAAATATGAAATGGAATTGACATATAGCAAAACCATGAATTTCCACCTTCAAAAATTTGTCCTGAGTGAACGTAAACGTGAACGAAAACAGAAAAGTCATTTTTCTCAAAAAGAACTTCATTTGGGGTATCCGTAATTATTCTGGGCGTCTCAATTCTTCCTGCTTCTAGGCGAATGCCGGTGCAGCGCCTTAACAAAGCAGCCATAGACTGCGCTCGAGCTTTCCTTTCCGTTATCCACTCCTACCCCCTTAAACCCTTCATGCACCACACTAGCAGACATGTCGGCAGCTTACAGCTTGTTCCGGCTGGGGCTGTGGCCCGTAGGCGCCAACCGAATGTCAGCTGACGCGTAGATCAGCGCCGACTTCACGTTCTAGTGGGAAAGGAACTCCGCACGTCCCGTGATATAACAAGCACTACACTTACGGGACTAACACTCTAGCCCTTGACGAGCTCGGAAACATAAATTCGCAATAAAAACACAATCAATTCGAGTTTAAAATATATTACCATAGCACCAATATATTTCACGAGCACGAATCATAAACATCATATGAGTTATTACTACACATTACATAAAGTTTCATATACGGGTGGTAGTTTTTCTACGACTACGATATGTGGAACATAATTTTACCTTTTCTCCTATTTTCGGTGGTGTTAATTCCGTGATTGATTCACTCTCGTTGAACATTTTAGCATTTCCCTCTGTCGGTATATCCGCCGACGGGTCTTGTATTGAGAAAGAAAAATATTCTAGGACAATGGCCAACCGTTGATCATACTCCTATGAGGAAGCTGTATCACCATGACTGTTGTGCACGACCTACAGCCATCCAACTCCATAATTATATGATGGGGGTAGAAAAAATGATAAGCCTTGCAAGGAAGAAATATAATACCAGTGACATGTTTCCGGTGGAGGCCCGTATTTCGAAATGAACCATGTAACACTTCCGACTCAGTGTCGTAACTAGTTTTTTCTTCTCCCATTGTGTAATTCGTGCATTAGATGGCTGCGGCTCGTTGCATAAGGATCATTGAGGGCGTAAGGTCAATGTGGTACATCTACATTTTAGTGCAGGTGTTTGTCCTATCACAGAGATGATTATAATTGTGAAGTTATCAATCAATCATCGGTCATCGCTCTGTTACATTTTTCTTCGGAATGTATATAATCAACTGGTTCGAGACAGTGATGGGGCAGCGACGGTAAATCGCACATGCAATTCCATTTCCAAACCGCAGAATAAATTCCCCTTTGAGGGGTGTATCAATTATTAAGCTGACAAGAAATAAAAACAGGGATAATTTTAATGAAGTTTCTTTAGTAAACTGAACCCTGTTTGGGTTGGTTAGATGCCAGCTGTCACGTAACTGTTGAATTAAAAAGTTGAACTTTAATGGATTAGCTTATAATAGCTATAAAAGTACTTTTTGAATATGGATGTAATGAGAAAACGTCATACACTCGTATGAAGTTTATGATATTCGCCCTTTCGTCGCTCGTATCATAAGAACTTCATATCCGTGTTATCATCACACCGTTTTTATAATATACTATTATTTCCTACAGTATGTCGCGTTTACGTTTTAATTTAATACTGCGACCAGCTCTTTTCACGGGCAAAGCTGCTGCTTTGCGTCATTGATTTCCAGTTTCGTTCAGACAATTGCAATGTGTAACGTAACTCTGGTGATCATATATTGAATACTTGAGGGTCATATATTTTATGATCTCGTTACTAAATATCTGGAGGAAATCCGAAGCCTTAGTATCAAAGTTAGAAGTTGAACTTCAGACAGCCTTTAAATCAGGTAAACTACCAAAGTGAGACATAGAAATAGTTGGCCTTGCTGGAGTAGGAAAACCGTCCGAACGGAGAGAATTGAGAATAGTTTGCTTCATTCTTAGTGTGCTCGATGATTGTTCACGGTTGACTCTTTCGTTATCTATATAGCTATTCAATTAAAAAAAAATAGAGGGGTTTTAAAGTATAGACGTTATTTATGTAAACTAATCTTTTATAACTTCTACCAAGATAGAATTTAATACTAAACTGAAAATTATTAGCAAGAACCAAATATTTTGAATGTTCAGAACTATGTTATTGGAGATTTGGAGAGAAAAATCGTGACCACATGTTGATGAAGGTGTGCCTTGTAATCAGTACGTCGAAACCAAGGAGGCAGAGAAACGTCCTATATGCATAAATTTGAAAGTCGAGATTAGTAGAATGTGATACACGAAAACAGGAATATTACCAATAGTTATCAGAGCTGTGGGAGTTTTCCCCAAAATAAGGATAAGAACTTGTCCAAGCTCCCTGGTCTTTCAAAGGATTAGGAAATACAATACAGAAGTATTATTTTAGCGTGGCCGATCGAGGGCTCAGAGCTGCCAGAAGAGTCCATTCCTCAAACTTATCGGTTTAGGGGGTAGAGCGTCCCTTGATTGAAAAATAACTTTGACGTACTTTTTTTTTACAAAATTGTGTAATTGAATCGACATTTTAAAAAAATACATATTGTATTAAAGATAATACATTTTGTATGAAACGTAATGAAAACCTGATGTCTAGGACGTGCGGAACAAACCGCGTCTCTGCCGTGATGGCTGACGTTTCGACCAACACCTTTCTTACTGCTGTGTTGTCTGAAAGTTCAATCACCATGACAGAGACCTTTCGTCCCCGATAGCCTAGATCATACAAACTCAGGCCGCGGAAGCCTACGCAGTCGTGGATAAAGCCAGCATTATCAATGCTTATTCTGTTGAGCAGGGGTTTTCAAACATTTTTCGTCCACGGCTTCCTTGACCTCAGCGAAACGTCCCGCAGCTCCCCTGGTAACAAAAAGTCTCAAGTACAAGATGTAACAAACTGGTTTAATAGGCTATTTTATTTCTCCATTTTAATTAGGTATAAAAAACATAACACATTTTATCAAATTTTTCATTGTGTGACAAAATTCTTCTAAAAATTAATGGCAAGGATGAACTCGCTTCTTCATTGTTAATTGTTCAAATCTTGGTTCAATATTTGAAACTGCGTGGGGCAATTTTTTTTTCGACGATCAATTTCGATCACAACTAAATGTAGGTTAGACCCAGCTCGCATGGGCACGGAAACTCATCTCCGTGGGTAGAAGGATTAAATATCCCAGACGCGCGCTAGGGATGTAGGTCGTTGCTAAAGGAGCAACAGAAGCTTATTGGGAAAGGACTTCCCAGGTTCAATTAATCCGTAAATAATTAGTAAAATTATATATTACAAATAACATGTACTATGATTGTACAACATTATTTTGTGGACATAAATGTCATCAGGATTAAAGAAAATCAAATTTAGAGATCATTTTCTATAAATCACCCCTACTATACCGACGCCTCTACCATATCGCCGCGACACCCCTGGGACCCACGAGACACAGTTTGAAAACCCCTGCTGTAGACTGTAGTGGCCATACGCTTCCAGAATAGGAAAAAAATCGTATTTTATTCGTTACTGATTCCTAACTATCGGTATTGATGTGCATAAGATCAATGCAGATTCTTAGTTTCTACAATCAAGCTTGTATTAAAATGTGTTACGTAAATATTATATTCGTATATTGACTTGTTAACTGTAATAGGTTAATTTTATAAGGCATAGCAACTGCGATAATCTAAGGTGTAGTCACGTGGTAACACATTGTCACATTGTCTTGTCACATCAAATTGTAGATAAAATGCATTGCAAATTGTAAATAAATCACATGCCTCAAATGTTGTAGCCAATCAAACTGAAATTAATTTCATTTAGCGACCTCAGTATTAAACATTTTAGGTTAATCCTGTTAAATAATCTTCACTCTTGATGGGACACTCGTGAAAACATTTTGGAAAACTGTGATGGCATTTGCAGTGCAATGGACAACGATGTTTTCATTACAAAGACCTTTCGTTTATTGTGTGTTGTTTCTAGACAGATGGAACGATGCACGGTTATTCAGGTAATGACATTAAATATTTCTGAAGTTTGTAGCGATTTCCTCAACCTCGAACTCTGGACAACGTAATAATAAATATTTTTTCGGCACGTTAATTCCATATCTTATTCCAGACGAAGCAGCCCCTTGTAATAAACAGGCAACATCAGGGTGCTTAATACACTCGTGTACTGCAAGTTGCCTATGCGCCCCTACCATCGCTCATTGCTCAAACTTGTATGGAATGGGCATCACGTCCTGGAAGTTTTATCCCAAACAATTTGCAATAAGGGGTGAATATTCGGAGCAAACAACACTATTTTTGTGTTTTGCTAATTATTTTGATTACATTACAACTTATTATATTTCAAAGCTTATAGCAACTCGATAATATTGTTTAAAACGAAAATGTATAAATCAGTAAGTTATATTTAACTAATTTGTTCTTTTCGTTGCTATTGTACAGATAACTCGTTAATTATTCTGTCAACAAATAATGTAGGCTCTGAACGACGTTTGGGGGAGTTCATCGTAATTGGTTTCCCGTTGAAAGCTTTTTGTTTTATATGTAATTATATTTATTTTCTGCTTCTGGGTGTGCTATTGTTTACACTTTATTTCATTAGTGGTTTGGTGAAAGAAACTACGTTATTTTTAAAAAATCTGGTTTTGTTACTTAGAGAGTTTCACCTGACAAAATATATAATCCACAACTCAAATGTACAATTCATACATTATGAATTGAATATTTTTGGAGTATATGCATTACAACGAACACAGACCATTGTACATCCACTTCTTTTAAAGTGACTTTTATGACTTGACTATCTTTACCTGAACCCAATTGTTCTATGAATTGGAGGGCTCAGTAGAAGGGGCTATCACGTTTTGGCATAGTTCCGAGATAATGAGGGCTTTACCTAAACGTCCCTCATATAACTCGGTAGATTTTTAAACTTTTAAACACAGTACACTTACGTCATTATATTTCAAGTTTGATAATCACTCAGTTTCACAAAAAAAGGCATTTTCATTTGATCTACTGAGCTCTTCAGTTCTGGAAGTAACTATTAAAGCAGTCGCAAGTGTCCATGTGTGCGTGTGTGTGTAGGGAGAGCGGCGAGCGCGCGGAGGAGGCGGCGCTGGGCGCGGCGCCGTGGCTGCCCTTCGGCGGCGAGTACGAGTTCTCGTCGGCGTCGGGCTACGCGCACAACACCTACCACGGGCCGGCGCGGCACCCGCGCGCGCCGCTGTGGGGCGTGGGCGGCGGCGACGACGAGGCAGCCGCAGCCCTCGCCTTCACCCGACAGCCCGCAAACACGCCTGTACGCCCGCCGCCCGCCCGCAGGCCCTCCGCCCGCGCCCACCCCCCAGGATAGAGCTCCGCGCCAGCAGCGAGGGCGCCCACGGACGGTAATGCGCTCCCCAGTGCACCTCTCCTCACCACCATTCCTCCTCGTCCTACCACCACATTCCTCTCTCGCTCCACCACCATTCCTCCTCTCCTCCACCACCACTTCTCCTCTCGTCCCTCCGACGCCTTCCCCTCCTCCTCCTTCCTCCAATGTACCCTTCTCCCAACGCCCCGCCTCCTCCATCCACTCACTCCTCCTATCCAAGCCCCCTCGTCTTAAACTTGTCTCTTCCACGCTTGCTCCTGTTCACTTCTCAACTGCCTCCTCCTCCGCATCCCTCCTCACCTCATCCTCTGTCGCCTCCAATGCGCCAATGTCATCCAACGCCGCGTTCTCATCACCTCGCTTACCTCATCCTCCAATATCCTCTTCCTCACATATTTCAACCCAATAAAACCATCCTCTCTCCCCCGCACATTCCGTTCGTTCAGTTTTTAAGTTTACTTAACCTCCAGAATATGTTTAATATTATTTAACATACTTGGCCAACGTAAATAAGCAAACAGATTCTTCGCTTTGTCATGATCATAAGAAAAAGCATGCTAGTACAAAACAATCAAATTTAAACCTATCGGAATAAATATAACTAAGATACGGTATTAGATATTTGATGATTAATTATTTAATTGTAATATTAGGAGTGCAATGGAAAAATGTATATTAGGTAATTACATATATTCCTGGCATTTCACGAAATAAACTCTCTCCACTCTTTCCGAACGTGGATCATATTACTGACGAATGAAGGTTGCTTCACAGGGATCGCGCGCAACTTTCTTCACCAAAACTATTAAGAGTTTCCTTGGGCTTGGGTAGCAGGAATAAATATTTTCGAACTTCTCACACAGTAAACTATATTCTCTCCTCTCTCTCTCTCTCTCTCTCTCTCTTCTCATATATTATATATATAATATTATATAATATATATATATATATCGCAAGCAGCACCCCACAATACCGTAACGTGACGCAGCAAAAGAATTCATTTTACTATCGCAATAATGTAAATTTTCGCATAAATCGCGAGATTTTATGGTGATCGATAAAATGCTGAACGTACCTCGTCCAAATTAAAAATCTCAACTCAGCTACGTTCCGCCTCGGTTTTTAACTTTTGACCTCTGTAGTAATAATACTCATAACAGTACTAGTTATATTCATAGCTATAACAGACCAAGACCAAGGTCTGTAAAGAATAATGGAAACATTGACCTGTAAATGAAGATGGCATCTGAATATCCTTGTCCCAAGAAATTGTGTACACGTTTTGATGTATATGAGTATGTGTAGGAAAAGAAGATTATGATGGCTGCGATGATTAGGAGGCGGATTTTGATGACCTGAAACTGCCAAAAAGATCAATAAAATGCTCTCAAAATGTTTTAAAAATGCCCTAAACAAAGAAAAATTACGTAAAAAAATTTGAAATCACTTCTGATGAACAACTCAAGCTGTTGTATATATATTACTGATGAAGTCGAGGCATCTTCCTTTTGTTCAAGTGAACTCAGCTTGCAAACTTTGCGTTTGGACTGTTCGTTAAAAGAAAAAAAAAATACTTTTAGTTATCGTGAAATAAATAAAACCGGCCGAACTGACAATGGCGTCGATAGGCGTCACAGGACCCTTAGATTGCATAACACTCACAACGGCTGGCGTAACAATATATGAGTAATATACAAGAAATCTAACACACCACTCAGGAATTTTGTGGTGAACAATTGTTGCACCTCGAAAATAATGTTTGAAGCAAGTACCATTAAAATGACATTAAAATCAACTAAATCAGCGAAAAGTGCATTCAAAATTGCGTAAAAACTTAAAAAATGACTTATTAGTCGAAAATGATGGAAAATGCAAAGAAATTACTTATAAAAATGGGTAATTTCCTTTTGTCATACCATAAAATGAAGTTCTGCATTGTTCTAAAGTGAAAAGAGAAAAAATGACATTTATTAAAATCAGCCTCCTACTCGTAACATTACTAGGCATGTTTAAAGCTATTACAGACCACGGTCTGTAAAGAACAATAGAAAGAATTGAGTTGTAGATGAAGATGGCGTCTGAATACCCTTTATCCAAGAAATTGTGTATGAGATTTTTTTTCTTTTAAGTACGTTGTATTGCGAAAAGCGTTGACCCAGAAGCGCCTGCCATGTGTAACGCCGGCCTTGGTGCAGGTACGGCGCGCCGCCGCCGCCGGCGCCGGCGCCCGCGCAGGGCCAGGGGGCCGTGGCGCTGGCGCTGTACGAGCGGCCGCAAGGGGCGCCGCAGGGAGCGCTGTACGCGCCGGCGTCGCCGCGCCCCGACGCCCCCTTCGCCTACGGCACGCCGTCGCACCTGCACTACGCAGACCGCCTCTACCCGGAGTTCGTCCTGGACCCCTACCTCGCGCACGCTGGGTGAGTATCACACACACACACACACAAACACACACACAAACACACACACAAACACACACTCACACACACACACACACACTGCTATGCCTTAGGCTGTGAGGTCCTACGGTCCCACTCACGACGGGGGCGGCATTCTCGACACTGGCCAGATAGTTAGGTCGCATTCAGTCGCTGTCTGTGGGAGAATTCAGCCGGCTGCACCCAGCGGGTGTTTTCCGAGGTTTCTCCTATCTATACTAGGCGAATGCCGGAGCAATACCCTATCAAACGGGCTACGGACCGCTTGTGATCTTTCCTTCCTCTTCCTTGTTCTATCCTTACCCCTCTCTTACACATACACACACACACATGCCTTATACTACCACACATGCCGGGAGACCGGTCGGGAGCTTAGAGCTTGTCTCGGCTGGGGAACGGTCTCCCAGCTCCGGGATCCGGTAGGAGATACCTAGTTGGGGATAACCCCTAGTCGATAGCGCTAGCCGATAGGTCGGCACTGGGTCTCGCAAACTAGCTGTGAAAGTTCACTGCCACCTTCCGAAGGAAAACATGCACTACACTTACGGCACCAATGACCTTACCAGTTGCGCCCAGAATCACTATCAATCAATCAGCCAAGCCTTGAGGAAATACCGCCAGTGTGTGAGGTCCTTAATAAACGGCCCGGGAACACCTTGAAAGAGTCTGTAAAGCGATTTGGATGTATTGGAGAGGGGATGGTGCCGTTCCCAACGGAAGCTGAACTCAAATTTAAACCTACTGGCTCTTCGCGGTGGAAGGAGAAAGGGATATTGTCATCCAATCGGAAGCTCCAATGCCAAAAAAAAAAATTAAGTCGTAACGAACTGGATGACAGGGTCCTCCTCTCCGTCCAGCTTGTGACCTCGAAGAGCCACTGTTTAAATCGGAGTTTTGCTCCTGTTCGGAACGGCACCATTTCTCTGCAATACGTTCAAATACACAGACAGAGGGTATCACTACCCCGCCATTTAATAGCCTCTCACCCGATAGCCCCGCTAGGCAGCAATCAGGAGCCATAGGAAAATTATATCAATTGGTGACGTTATGGAAATTTTGCACGAATACAAATATTTGGTTGGGATAGATACATGGTTCTCAACACACAGGAAACCACACAGTTCAAATTCTCCTCACGACTGGATATAAAAGGGCGCGATCGGTGGAACAATGCAATGCGCTTCTCTCTGTATCTACAGTACAAGCAGCGTATAAGCGACTTTGACAGTTCATCGCGTTGTTGCCTCACATTACTACGCACATGGCACCACCTACATCAGAGATAAATTAAATCTCACTTCTCAATTAACACTTACTGACAAGTTATGACACGTCTTGATATCGTATTTTTAACTTTCGCCGAAGCCAAAACTTATCGCCTCGGCGACTTCGTGTGAGTCAGATGAATGGCAACGCTGAACGCTGACTGTGAGAATGTAAGGAAATTCCCCCAAGGTGATTGCTTCATACCAGATCACTTAACGTACCACATCTCGTGGCGAAAGCACTGTCCGAGTTGCTTATTGTATAATATTTCTGTCTACTTGACAGCTGTGGTGAAGTTGTTGCCACTTTCACTGCGATTTATCCCACTCTGCCTCTGGCAGGTATCAGCTGTTGACAATTTCATCCGATCGAGAGCTTGAACGTCACTACATTGACATCACTATGGTGACGTTCTAGCTCCCGATTGAATGAAACAGTCAACAGCTGATGCCTGCCAGGGGTAAAGTTGGATAAATCGCAGTATACTCGGGTGGCAGATCCGTGGTCTTATGGTCATTTTCGCAAGAAGTAATGGTAGCAAGAAACAAACAGCAATGAGAGCACATGACAGTCCACGACTCAGAAGCGCATACACAATCTAGAACCAAAAAAGTTCTTAAAATAAATGGCGCTCTTAAACTTCCAGATGCTTCGCGTTATGAGATTACAGTTTTTCTTAATAAGCATCGGTAACTCAGCAGTAACGTCATAATTAGAGGCGTCTGATCGGATTACGGAACTCGCTTTCCCCTGTCAGCCGGGAGCTGCCGAGTAGGCAGAAGCATTGTTCGCAGTGCAGACGCAGTGGTGCATGTACTTGACGCATGGGGCGCGCTGCGCAGGTACGAGGCGGCGAGCAGCAGCCTGAGCTCGTCCACGACGGGCAGGCGACGGCCGGAGAGCAGCGCCGGTCCGCGCCGCAGGCGCGCCGCGCGCCGCGCCGCGTCCGCTCCGCCGCCTTCACCACACACCACACCAGCACCACCCGACACCGGCTCGCAGCCCCTCAACGTTGAGACGGGGCCTCTCGGGCGGGGGGTCGGCGGGCTATCGACCGACGCCCTCTAGGCCGGCGACGCCGGGCGCGGGCGGGGCCGGCGGCGGGGCGCCAGGGCGCGGCAGGGCGCGCTCAGGGCTACGTACTGACGGCCACGCGCGCCACCGCCGCCGCCGTACTTCTCCAGGTGAGCGCAGCCTATCAGCCAATGAGCTCCAGGCTAGTGACGCGAAGTCGATAACAAAAATTCGATGTCAAAAATACATCGACTAAAAACCAGCCATGTTGTTTTGGACTGGATTAGTAATCTCTAACATTAAATAAGTGTGGATTAAAATGTAATTTGACAGTGTTGTTGTTTACCAATTCGCTGAATAAGGGTACGAGAAGAAGGGACAGACTCTACGCCCACAGCGTATTTGTTGACCTTATCTCAATGTGCGAAATGAATATGAAGAAAGAGGAAATGCAGGGCATGGAGGTACATTTTTCATTAGATCCTTCTCCAGAGTCCGTGCTCTCTCCATACTTGATTCTGCACTGTCCTGTCTCTAAGTATCGTAATGCTATCTTGGCACCCTTCAATGCCTCTTCCACTATTGGAAAACCGCCTCACTTTCCAAAGGCCCCGCCTAATAACATACGAGATCCAATTCACTTTCAGAACTTATTTCCTACGTTCACTATAGCCGAGGTTCAGGTTCACAATAACCAATTATTCTTATGCTTATTTGTAATGTAACTGAAACGGGAGCAGTGGCTTAAGTTCACTATAACCGAGGGCCCACTATAACCGGAGACGACTGTACCGAAGTTTCGGTTGTATTATCTGGGCTATCCGGGGCGAGCTGTATCTTTGTCGTGATGGCTACGAGTTTCGGTCAACATGTTGTGGCCTTCCTCTGAACGTACTGCTGGACAGAGGGCCCTAGTTAATACAACCCCCCGCCCCCCGCGGAGGCCTACTTAATTTTGTTTTAATGGAGTAATTTTGAGCTCCTTAAAGTCCTTTTCAACTTCTTTAAACATACGTTTTAGACTTCTTTAATATTGTTAAATAATTAACTGGAAGAGTCTTCCAGTTAATTTTTACAAATGTAATCTGTAAAGATATCCAGAATGAATTTCTTCTTTTTCTCATCGCGTCCATAATTTTCTCAATATTTTTGTATAATTGTTTGTTATGACTTCGCTGGTGCTCATCTCCAAATTTAATTGAGTCCAAAATTTTCCCCAGAAGTTTGCATTAAGTAGTTTCCAGTTCCTCTAACAACATATTCTTATTTAAGGTTAGACATTCCGCGGCATACAATGCCACTCTGGTTTAACTATTGCTGAAATATATATAATACTCAAATTAATGTATAAAATATTTTTTGTATATCGGCAAAATAAACGACCCTTCTGTTGCACGAAATCGTAATCAGGCATTTTACGGTACAAATGATGATGTATTAGCATCTTACGGCAAAAATGATTGCCCATCACCCATACAGCCAATCGTGAGAGAATCGCGGGGGGGAACGGGTAACGGAACAGCCGATCACAGTTTTCTCACACAAATGTCAAATACCCGAGACGTCATAAGAATGTTGTTTCGCAAACTTGTTTGATTCTCTCATGAAAGTATAATGCTGTTATACAAAAAAATAGCGTTTGAATGTCTATTATAATGTTGCATTATTGCATTCGTACAAACACGAAAACTCGCTCCTAACGTCGCTCGTTATCAAAACATGTACTCGGGCAATAAATCTTAATATTAAAAAAGTACCATAAACCCTCATTAATACGAATTACAAGGGACAGAGTTCGTGTTATTCGAGTATTACAAATTATATTATAAGTTTTGTTTGTATTACAGCGAAATTCGTGTTAAGTGAGTTCGTGCTAACGAGAATTTACTGTAATTGCATAAACTACTATCAATTTGCAAACTGTCCGCCCTGGGGCGTGTATACTTTGCTGTTTTTGAAGTGGCCGATGGCAGTAGGTCATTGGCACATCTCCTGCGATGTCATCGGCCACTTTCAAAAGAAATCGAAGTGTAGTGAGTGAAGAGCCGCCTTCCGCTGTGCAGGCAGAACTCGCACGACTCGTGCGCGTCGGGCGGCGGGGGCTCCTCGGAGGCGGCGCTGGGGCGCCTGCGCTCGTCGCTGCGCCGCTACAACTACTCCGCGCCCGAGCGGGGGCCCTCGCCCAAGACGACCGCTGGCGGCGGCGGCTCGTCCTCGTCGGGCGGCGCCGGCACCCCCACCAACCCCACGCCCCCGGACTCCCTCACCAGCGAGGACAGCAGCTACGTCTCGGCCAAGGAGGGCTCCTACTCGTCCATCTCGCGCGTGCGCTTCTCGCCGGTGGCCGCGTTCGAGGCGGCTGGCGCGGCGGCGGCCGCAGTGGCGTTGCCCCGCGCGCGGAAGACCTCCCAGCAACCAGCCGCGGGCTCCGACCCCGACGGCGGCCTAGCGTAGCGGCACCGACGCCCCCATCTGGCGGCCGCGGCGCGAAGCTCGGCGCGCTGCCGGCGCGCCAGGGGCGCGATGGCGAGCACCGACCGAACTACGTGAGGACGGAGCGTGTGTGAATGTGTGTGATTTGTACGCCCGCGGTAAATTGAACGCGATTCGAATCAAGGCGAGGAGGGATGGAAGATGGCTTTCGCGCGAAATCCCTATCTCTTGCCGTTGCCGTGTGTGTCGATTTCTTCATTAAACACGAGAGTGCACTTACAATGATTAAGAAGGCAGGTGATATTAAGAAAGTGCTTGTGATAGTGATGTCAAGTAAAATGTTCTGACAGTCAGAGGCTGCGAAAGAAGAGGATACATCTGCAGTGTTCAACTGCATGTGTGTTTGGTTGTGTGGAGTGTGCACATGCACTGTAAGTGTTTAGTTGCTAGTTTGCTAGTCGGCTGTAAGCCCTGAGTTGTGTCGCCCTATCCAATTTGATGCAAATTTTCTTCTCAGTATTGTCTTATTGATAGTTTTTGAAATATTTTCTTTTATTTCAATTATTTGTACGACCTTATAAATTAAATTGCAGTGTTTGATATATTTCCCAACCAGATAAAACATTCATTTCTTTAAATATAATTCTTAATGAATTAATGAAAATGAAGTTTACTTCTTGCTACTGATGAATACATTTTACTGCAAGGGGAGAAACTTAGTAGTTTATTCCTGGAGAATGTAGCTCACCCACTGCAGTAATTATATTATTTTTTCTGTGTTACTCTTATCTGAGTTGGGATGAATTAAATAGTATTAATTTTCTAAATTATTTGACTGTCTTTTCTTCTCTCTTTATAATAATTCATTTCTCATATTTTATCAAACTTGTGGTACTAGTTAACAGATAACTATTGCTAATATTTTTAATAACTATATTTTAATTCAATAATTGAAAGGAAGATGAAAAAATTATTTGGTCATTATAGTTCAAATTATTTTTTGCTAGGAGAAGCTACAGCCCAATTTTTAAATTTACATTATGAAACACAATCATTCTTCAATTTTTGGTAAGTAATTTTTTCATCATTGCAAATTTCTATTTTACCATAACATATTATGCATTTCTCTAGCCAAGTCTCGATAAAAGAAGTGACAAAACAAAAGTTCTTGTAAAAACAAAAACAAAAAAAATATATTTGAACATTCTTGGGCATGTGCTTTATCAATTACAGTGTAGAATATCTCACAACTTAGGTCTTTCGGTACCAAATTGGATAGGGGCCCCAGCATCCAGAAAAGTTGCACTTCTGAAATGTAACAATATTATCACTGTTGAGCTAATTTATTCAGTGTTTTTTGAAATACTGGCTCAGCTTTTGACACCCTTGTGGGTTACGCAATGTTATTCTTGAAATTTTAATAATACATTTATGGTATCAATATATAAATGTTGTCTAGCCTGAAGTTGCATTCTAGATTTGCTACTTCTTACTTCCACCCCAATCAATACTTCAAATTATCTTCAATAATTTGAATAGGAATTACCATACATAATCAAGAATAATATTACATACTGTTGGTGAAAAACGGAAGAGATTTTTTAACATTTGTTTGCCATCAAAAATCATGACACCCAGGAGAATTTTGCTTAAATTTTCATATGATAATATTTACAGTTGACTCTCGGATATTTGGCACTAAAATGTGTTACTGACTGTGACTAGTAAGAATTATGTGAAAGAATTTATAAAATATAAGAATATATTTTAAAATTATAACATCCTTGGGAAACTCAAAATTTGCAGAAAAATTCTAATAAAGAGTTAAATTTTCAAAGATTATTAAAAGAATCCATTGCCAATATGAATTATTAACACACATCATAGATAATTCAACATTAATAACAATTTTCCCCCTCCAAGGCAAGAGCTTGTCAAGAATAGTTTTTACTGGGCAGAAAATAATCATGACCTTGGATTCTAAGAATGGGTTCGATACCACTAAATTCAACTCTCATTGTAATTTTTAGCCAGCATGTTCTTTTAAATTTTAATTTTTTTTCATTATACTTTTATGTTTATAACTTGTATATGCAAATGAAATGAACATCCGACTGCTGCCTAGTTTTCTCACATATATCTTTTATGGTGTCTTATTTGATTTACAAATATTCGCATACAAAAAACCAAATTCTTAGCCCTTTAATACATAACCAACAGTTCTTTTTATTAAAATATATATATTCAAGTCAAAAACAGGTTAAGAGCACGTCATTGAATCAATAGTTATTTCCAGAATTTTGCATTGTTCTTTGACACTGCAACTATGTAGCTAGGATGCACTTCAAGCTAGAGCCAGACAGTATGCTGCAGTCCAAAAGTTACTCTTTTCTGGATATCTGGATATGTGGAGTGAGGAACTCGCATCAAGAGACTGCAGTGAGTAGATGGCTATATAAGTGACACGGCATGTTTATAGACAGGTGTGTCTGTACATATATAAATGTATATATTATATACACTACATGCAGTTACGGCTGGTTGGCATACACACTTAACTTGTTTGGGTACAAATGTGCATTAGTTTTTGCTCAAGAACAAGTGCTTTACCAGCAGGGCCACCCAAGGTGGCTGGACATTAACTTCTATATTACGAGTACTTTTGCATTTACTCTAATGTCCCAATTGAGCTTCGATTGGCTGCACGCTAGTACCTAAAGAAATGGATTTGAAGCAGTTTTCATCTTTATGTCTTTGCTTCGTGTTTTTATTTTCTTCTATGGTGCATTATCTTCATTGAACCCTCATCAAATTCATTGGTTGAATTGGTGCAATTTACCTTTTACCACATGTGCCCATAAATATATGATAAGAATAAGTGTGGTGTATTCTGTATATTGGAACAAACTTTTGTTCCGAATTAACCATAATAGTGAGTCATCTTCAGTAATTTTACCCATTTAATAGAGTTTCATGTTCAAACTCAAATGATTTTTTTAAAACTTTATAATAGACCAAAAATAATATTTTGAGGGAAATCTAATTACTCTTAACTTCGTGATCTCGTGTGTATCTTCATGGGCTTCTTGATGTACTTTATACACTAGCTTAAGTTGCAGAAGAAGTTTGAATGCTATGTTGAGTTATGGTATTAGCTACACCAACAGCCCTTGTAGGTGTAGTTCATATTTTAATTGTAGATTAGGTGAAGCAACAATTCCAGTAGAAACATTAAAATGAGCTATGTCTTTGTTTGCCCTCATAGTGTACTTTCTACACTAGTGCATTCTGAAAAGTAAAATAATGTTGATTCACATTAATTGATGAGTTGACACTTGCTTGAAGCTGACAATCAAATGTGTGATATGGGCATTTAGGTAAAGACTGTCAGTGAGTTATAGTAGAGCAATAGTGAGATGCTGTGTTCAAGCTTGAAATATACTTTAGGCAGGGCTTATAAATGGTGAAGAAGACCTGGGAGGCAGAAGTATTAAGTTTGCTTCCCCTATTTTGAGAAATTTTGTTGGGACATCTGGAATGCTCATCGAACTGTTGAAGGGTGACAACCCCATTCATGAATACAAAAAAGGGGACAAAAGGTGATGCAGTTACACTCAGTTGGTATGTGAAATAGAGGAGTAGAGCCTCAGGGTTAGCCAGAACCATTCACTTTTAATAAAATTTAAGCATTCATTACTATTATTAGTAATATCCAATATATCATTGTTATTTTTTACCAAAAAATGTGATTACGAACTGGAAAGAATTGGTTTTTTTCTTGCTGCTTTTGCCCACAGTCCTGTTTGATTGTTGCTGTTTAAATGATTAGAAACCATTTCAGAAAATATTTCTTTTTAGCTTGAACATGGCACATCAATATTTCCTAGCACTGCTGAAGTATTTACATTTTTTGGAGCTCCAAGCCCTTCCATTAGGGAGGTATCTTTGTTGGTAAAGAGAGAATTTTGATATGGGCTACAATAAAGTTTTAAAATAAATAAAAATGTTTCATTCAGCTGTTTGAATCAGACAGATCTATGATTATAAATTCAAATTACTCCGATTATATTTTTGCTTTGAAAGTCCAAAGGGTTGGTTGATTTACTTGTCATTGCCAATGTTACATTTCTGTAAATCTAAAAAATGCCTTATGGATCTCTAGTGAAATATTTTGTATAGGCTTGGAGCTGTATAAAAACAGTATGTAAAAATTTATTTATAAAGGAAATCCTTAGAGAAATTCTATTTTTAATGCAGCCACTCAAAAATTAATTTATCAATGGGAGTTCCTCCCTAGTAGTTTGAGTGGAAACCTAATGTGATATTTTAGTTGCTTATGCAGTCACTATGTACATATGTAAATAAGCACACATTCCAGTTTTATTGTATTTTCACAGAGCAAGTATTTTAAATCTAAAATGCTCATTTGTACATTGAAGGAAGTGAAACTACCATGACAATATTAAAGGTGACATTCCTATTCTGATATACATTCCTACTGATATCTAAGTCTTATTGTTGATGAACTAGAAAAATACTCAGACATTCCACAAAGATGTAAATTGACTGAATACTCATCATGTATTAATTTCCAATTGTATTAACGTTGTAATGAAATAATTTGCACTGATTTTGTAGTTTTGATATCCGATCACTACAATATTTATATGGCCTGTACAGAATCCAGATAATTGGAATATTGAAGATATTTTAAATATTTTCCTTGCTTATATATCTGTGTGTTACACACTCATATGTATTGTAGGAATTCTTTATACTCTGTATTATTTTTCTCAAAATTTTCCAAAAATTTTAACTTTAATCTGTGTATACTCAAATACATTCTGCAGTGGCATCAAATAAAAAGATCATATTGGTTGTTTGTGAAATATTCTTACAATAACTTTTTGAATAATGAAGGAAAGATCATGCTGAGCTATCAAGATTCAGAAAACATAAAGCAACGTAATAGCTTGCTTGAAAAAGTTGTTCATGGTCAGACGTCAGTTTTTCAACTTTCAATCGAACAATATTTGCAGGTATTTGAAGAAATTGTGAACATGAATATCACTTTTGCAACCAACTCTCTTATTTGAAGATCACATTGTATTATTGATGAGTAAATCCAGTACTGGTGTGCAGCCTTTGAATGCTTAATTGAGGACAGGGGTTCACTGAGTGGGTGTAACTAGTCGTATATGCCCTATGCAACCCTCAGTCACTCCCCAGCAAGCAAAATAATTTTTTTTAATGAAATGTTTGTTTTTTATAATAATTATCATCATTCCTTTGGTTCTGTGATATGGCATTAGCAGACTGTTTGCAGTATTTTACCCAGTCCATTTTCCTTCTTTACCTTTCCTTCCTATCTCCCCCCAATTTTTACTGGGACGTGCAATATTCTTTTGGTTTTGACAGCATATTCTGGTGG